AGAAATTCCAACTTTTCTATGAAAGCCCCTTTTCTGATACTTTCGAATTACCAAACCCTACTTACTTTACAGTGTCATTCTCGCTTCCATTATAGCTTGACTGTATGAAGGGTTTTAAAAAAGACTTATGAAGAAGTAGGCTATATTCACTTTCGAACTTGTCTCGTTATGGCACAGTACTGTTCGTAGTATGAGAGGTTCTGGAAGGCGATGAATATACATCAGGTAGCTGGTGAGAGGCTAATAGAATGTCTAAACTTGCTGTCAGAACATGATGTTTAATTATCGACAAACCCGGAACCGATGAAAAGTGTAACCCGAGTCACCTTTTGAAGAACCATTTGGTTGTTGTTCAAACACTTCTGGAGAGCACCGTTCCATCATCATCATGCGTTCGGTGATCTACTCAAGTCAGCCGATACAAAAATAATAGAATGGCAAACTGTGCATGTACGTGTGCTTGTGCTTATGTGTACGTTTGTACGTGTGTGTGTGTATGTTTGTCTTATTGTGGATAAGGGCTAGTAACAGGGAATGATTGTGTAAGGCTGTTAGTTCTACGGCAGAATTTCACCGTATCTCGATCCCCCAAATGAGGATATAGTCAAAGTTCAACCACATCAACTTCCTTAACGGTATCCGAATCTGGTAGTAATCGGGTTGGAGAAGGGACAGGGTGATGTGACTTTCATCGGCGCTATAGCTGATTCGTAATATGAACCCACGATTGTTGGGCCTAAACCCCGTCGATTGAGGGCAAAATGGCGGGTCGGAAAGCAGGATACGCGATAGAGCAATTTCAGTAGTTGCTTCCATTAAAAGGCTTTAATTTTAATCCAAATCGTTTATTTCAACTTTTTGGGGCAGCGTACAAGTCTTTTACCTGAGCAACTAGTTTCTAGGTTCTTGGCTTCAAAGCGTTATGGCTCATTCCATCGAACCCCGAACATCGAGTATACCGCTTACGACCTGATGGCCTCAAGCAGGCGAAAAAATAGCTTATCATGCCTTTCTTCTGTCGTTGAGTTCAGGAAGTTCGCTTTCAAGACCATCAGAAAATCCTGAACCCCAGTCCTAGTCAGGTTTCCAGTCGATTCCACTCAGCCTCGCTTCTCATAAGGGATTCTTATCTAAACTGATCTCATTATCGCGCCCAATGCGACTCGAATACGGATTCTAATAGTGCAGAGTATTATTTCGACACCACACTGCCAAAGGCGCCTGTCTGTCATTAGGCAGAAATAAATTTTAAGGCGACGAATGCTGTCTTTTGCTACTACAATCGACAAAATTGCTTATATGTATACACAGTAGGCTTTGTGACTAGCAATAAATTCTGAATGAGAATTATATGCGAAGGAAAGATTGGTCTCGAGGTGTCTTGTCTTTCATAATTGCTCAGTTTACTTCCATTTCGAGTGAATGCGTTTGGCAGAACACAATAGCGCCTTTAGAGGCTGTTGGATTGAAGAATCATAGCTAGCTGAGCACAAAGCAGAAACTGGACATGAGATTGAATGGCCTCAAATTTTACGATTTGCTGATTATGGCATGTCTGCGGATAAACGTAAAATTAGCGAAGCCATCGAAGTGGACCGAATAGGCAATACATTTAATTTAAGGAATACCGATAAAAAGTTAAATAAAAACTACTTGTGCCTAACTAATAGATACGAAGATAAAGAGGGTGTTGAGCCTACTCAACCAGCCCTTACCTTTGTCGTTATGGTTCCAATTACGGTAACTTTTCTGTATTTTTAGCCCACACTTTTTAATTTACAAGACAAAAAGCTCATCAATATAACCACACGTTTGTCCGACCTTGCGCAACTAGAGTGATGGTTGAAATATAAAATACATATGGTGGATGGGGGATGATCGTTGTCATCAAACCTTGATGGCCGAGAAGAGACGTTACTTATTCTGCTCTAATTACTTTTAGCCATTATTGCTGGTTTCATACATATGCGAACACCAGCAGACACATATGCATACGCAAACATTCACACTCACATGCTTCGAGGTTGGCATATGAATTGGACTAATTAAATCACTTTATGTCTCATCAAAGAGCTTAGATTTACGGCATATATACAGCATTTAGGAATGAGCTGGTGAGTTTTATCTACTCGTTACCTTGCATATGGTTGTAAGAATGATACCCTTCGTGCTCTGATGAGGTACGTCATACGATGAGCAAAAGCTTGGCACGTTTTACTGGAATCGAAGGAGATTGACCGTCAAACAGCGTCAATAAGAATGTTCCTGTAAAGATGGTCGAGAGGAATCCTCCGTCTAATCACCGCACACTTTCCTTCGAAATGGAAGTAAGCTCAACATAGGAATTCTATAAGATGTATTCACCCTATTGCATTTAAGATGATGAAAACTAGTAGTTGACTTTTCCCACAATCATATGAATAAAGTTGACGCTTCATTTGAATTTCACAAAGGTTTGCTTTCCCAAAAGTTGTTTTAATCCCGGCTGGAGTAGACCACTAGTTCGACCTCAACTAGGTCTTATCAGCACCCCTAGCGGGACTCGAACCATGGCGCTGCTGTGTGTAACCTCGACACCTTACCCACTACGCCAGACTGCCACAAGTGCCCTTGGGTCAGAGAGCAGATCTTAATTTCAAGGAAGGCCAGGCCTTATATCCAATCGAATTATTTTATTGCAAAGTTATATTTGCAATTACAATCGATTATATTACTTATTTACGTTTTAAGTAGGGTTTATAGACTATCATTACATCAGTAGTATGAGATGTTTTCACCCTAGTTCGTTTAAGGTGATAAGGGACTGGTATTAAAAAATTTTCCACATTGAATTTCACATATCCTTGCTTTCTCAAAAGGTATGCTTATCCCGGCTGAGTAGAAAATGCCTGGCCTTCCTTGCAATTCACACCTGCCTCGTGACGCAAGAGCACTTGTGGCAAAATGGCAAAAGTGGTTAACGTGTCGAGATTACACGCTGCACTGGCATGGTTCGACTCCCACTTTGGCTGTTGCTAAGCTCAGCTGAGTCGAGGTCAAAAGTGCAGTCCACTCCTGGCTGAATGAGAATACCTTTTGGGAGAGCAATGTCATATGAAATTGGCTGGATGCGTCAGCTTTATTCATCAGATTTTGGCAAAAATTCAACTACCATTCGCCTCATCACCTTAAACGAAATAGGGTGAATACGTCTTATTTAAGTGATTTACTTCACTTACAAACGAAAGATAACAATTATACTTAGCCTAGGCTGGATAAACTAAGAAATGACTGGCAATGCAATTGCCCCCAAATATGATTTTGGGAATATTTGGCTATCACAGCTTCACCTTTTGCGACCTGGACCGACTAGAAGTCTTGTTTAGGCATATCTTCACAAGTGCATAAGAGCAGCTCTATTTGCTGTCTCTCCCTTTTTCGCCTCACAAATTGGCTATCATAAGTCCACACATCCTCTTCGGTTTTCATTCCATTCAGTGCACGAACCACACTCATTGCCCTTCCTGCCCTCTCCGATCACACCTCCTCACTTGAACTCTCATTAGCATGCACTCTCCTCTCCCCTCCACGACTCTCTCCCCCCTCCGACTGCTCCCCTCGCAATCCGGCCACTCCCAAGCCAACCAGTCGGACCGGCTTCCATTGCGTCAGTCCCGGTTACGAGGGCTACAGATGGGCATTTGCGAACACCCACTTCTGGGACGCGATCTATTATTGACAGAGAAGGCATAAAGAACAGAACCACTTGCAGTGAATGATATTAATAGTAGTAGTAGTAGTAGTAGCATCCGGATCGGTCACTCGGCCGCCAAGAGACCATGGTCACGCCATCTGCCTGACCGGATCATGAATAAATGAGTGACAGTTTCACAGAACCTGGGCTTTGCTGGGCCACACTCGAGGCCTGCATCCTTCTCTTAACTTGGAACCATGTTGTCCAGTCGCCAGTTGCGTTGTCCAATCGTCCTCAGGAGGCGCCGAGGCGAGAAGAGTCTCCCCGTGCCAACGCAGCCATTTGAGAACAAATGTCTCGTGGACTGTGTCAACCTGAAGGTTGAATTAAAGCCCGAACCGGCCGTTGCCTTTGGATCAGATTGACCTTCGAATCTCTTCTTCCAGCTCTTTCATGCGAAATGAAAGTCTCCTCAGCAATGTTATCTCAGGAGATTGATCGAAACCCAGTTGCTCTTCGTAGCTATGATGAAAAAGGTGCAACAGGTCTCGTAGGCTCAACAAGCCCAAATAGGAGTACGAGATTACACAGTCCCAGTCATGCTTTTCTTTGAATCATTAAACCTTAACTAACCTTGACTGAAGAGTTAGAATTCACACACATTTAGGCCTACATTTTACAAAGCCGACCAAACTTACTTTCGAGCTTAGGCAATCTCAGTTATGCCTTTGTCACATAAAGTCTCGATAATCCCGGCTCTTTTGTAAACAATCTGAATCATTGAAAATATGAAGACCAAGATGGTGTGGTCTTTTTTTTTTGTGGTCGCAGTCTCCTTCCATTGTATAGAAGTTGTT